CAATTATGAGAGTTATAATTCAAGATATAAGAATAATACATGGTATTATGACTTTAATCATGCTAATTTTCCTTTATTAGTTAATTTATTAAATGATGTAGATTGGTCTTGTCTTTATAATTTAAATGAAATTAACTCAGCATTAAGTAAGTTTTATGAAATAATCTCTAGAGTGTTAGATGCTAATGTGCCTAAAATCTACTCTTATAAATCTTCTTTTCCACTATGGTTTTCAAAAGAATTAAAGTCCCTTATACACAAAAAAAAATATTTGCATAAAAAATTTAAAAAATATGGATTACAGTCAATCTATAATGAATTTTCATCTACCCGTGCAACTTGTAAATTTTTATCTAAGCAATGCTATTCTGATTATTTAAATAAAGTTCAAAACAGTTTAATAAATAATCCTAAATACTTTTGGAAGTATATAAAGAATTGTAAAAATTTAAACCGATTACCTAATGTAATGAAGTACGAGAATTCGCGCTTTGATAATATGAGATACATTTGCTAATATTTTTGGTGAATACTTTGATTCAGTATTCTCAGCACATAATACTGATCCGTTGTCTTTGGATAATTGCGAAGGTGATAAAATTGATTTTTCCAAGTGTGATTTATCTTTATCAGATATTTATGAAGGTCTTTCTCATCTTAAAAATAGCACTTCAACTGGACCTGATTTAATTTCTGAAATATTTCTTAATAATTGTCGTTGTGCTCTTGCCCGGCCGATTCACTTCCTTTATTCCCTTTCTTTATCTTCTGGTTGTTTTCCAGATCTTTGGAAATTTAGCTTATCTAAATATCTAATTATCTCCCCATATCTAAGCTTAATGTCTTACCAAAGTTATTTGAAAAACTATTACTACCTAAGCTTGCATATACAATTCAACCTATTTTAGTTAATAATCAACATGGCTTCCGTTCATCAAAATCAACTATAACAAATCTTCTTGTTTTTTACACTACTTTAATATCCGATATAAGCTCTGGAGGCCACGTAGACGCTGTGTATACTGATCTCAAAAAAGCTTTCAATAAAGTTGATCATTCAATTTTGTTAAAAAAGCTAAGACTTTTGAGTGTAGGTAATCCAATGATTGCGTGGTTTTCTTCCTTTCTCAAAAATAGAAATCAACAAATCAAAATAGGTAATTTTACTTCGAATATAATTACTTCAGGCGTACCACAAGGTGGCCATTTNATAATGTTACTTCAGGCGTACCACAAGGTGGCCATTTGTCTCCTTTACTTTTTATCGTTTTTATTAATGATTTATGTCGAATTTTTCAACACTGCAACTATCTGCTTTTTGCGGATGATCTTAAGTTATTTATGACCATTCAATTTCAACAGTTGATGATTGTGGTAAATTACAATCAGATTTAGATAAATTCAGTTTATGGTGTAAAAAAAATTGGATTAGTAATTAATACAAATAAATATCATCAGTTAACATTTACTCGTTCTAAAAATGTAAATATTAATCAATATACGATTGATGGTTGTAATTTGCTTAATGTTTATAGTATCAAAGATTTAGGAGTTATATTATCCAGTGATTTATCTTTTTCTAACCATATAGATTATATTTACAATAAAGCCTCACGAACACTTGTCTTTTTGAGAAGAAATTGTAATAAATTCAATAATATTTTGTGTATCAAAACCTTGTACATTTCTTTGGTAAGATCAATTTTAGAATATGCATCTATTATTTGGTGTCCATATAAAATAGGTGAAATTAATAGAATAGAATCTATACAAAGATGTTTTTTACACTTCATTTCTTTTAAGTCTAGGGATTATAATGTGTCGATCGATGAAATACGAATCTCTCTTGGTCTAACTTCCCTTGCTTACAGGAGAAAATGCAATGATGTTTTTTGGATTTATAATCTCCTTAATAATAATGTAGATTGTCCAGAAATTTTAAGTCTAATTCCTTTTAATGTTCCTAATTTTCATCTTCGATCTAATAATTTATTTTATGTTAACTTATATCGTCAGAATTATAGTTATTATTCACCGGTCAATAGAATGCTACATTTTTGCAATTTAATTAAAAATTTTGATTTCTTTAATGACCATTTAACCAAGTTAAAATCTATTTGTAGCGATGTATTTTAATTATTAATTTTGTATGTTAATAATTTAAACTTCTATGTANGATGTGTTTTAATTATTAATTTTGTATGTTAATAATTTAAACTTCTATGTATGCTGTACTTATTTAATTATTTGGATATTTTGTATTTATATTCTGTACTCATTGCCGTCTGTGGCGTACTCAATATTTATTTGTTTTTTTTTCTGTTTGATTATGTTGTGTCTTGTATATTACAAAAATTAATAAATATTGAAATAAATAAATAAATTATTGTGTCTCGCCGAACTATTATCGGTCCTTTTTTTGTGAATTTGGCGTTCTCGCCACCATTGCTAGTCCTTGCTACGTGGTTCTATGGTGCATATAGCTCATAGTCGTTTTAATGGATTAACCACCCTGGTGTTTCGTCATGGGTATAGAATTGCTATACCAGTCTATGCCATTGTGCGCCCTTCGTGTACATAACAAGTGCCTCCGTTTGTATCGACTACCCTTGTAGTCTTCAACATTTTAATTTAAAGTATAACTGTTCATTTTCATCGTCATTAGTCATCTTTAATCTATTGTACGTTACACAGTTAAGTTTTTATTTGTTTGTAATTATTATATTATATTTTATCTATTTTGTTCAGAGATGCCTAGTTGGCCTAGTTGGCCCCCCAATCCACAATTCTATGATAGTTTATATATATATATATATTGTTACTTTAATATATAACTCCTTGCCTTATAATTCTTATTATTTTATTTAGTGTAAGTACCATCCTCTTATATACAGTCCACTCCCTATTTCTCTCTCCGTCATAATTAGCCAACCCAACCGGACGTTCACTAACCTGCACATTATAACCGGGCGTTCCGTTCAAATAAGTATTGAATTTANTTTAGAAAGGCTAGATACAAAATTAGTGCTTATTATTATTATAAAAAAAATGTATAAATATGTAAAATCATACTCGAATATCGTATAACTGACTTGATAAATTTATTAGATTAGAAACATAATATAAAGAAAAAATTAAAATAACAGGAAATTATCAGAAATCATTTAATTTAAATCAGTATAGAAGTAAGTAATTTAAATAAGATTTAGTTAATAAACCTAATTAAATTATTTTGATTAGACTGACCGTGTAAATTAATTTCAAAACCAAACAAAATTAGTGTTTTTTTTTCTAAGAGTTTTCTTATTGGGATTCCTAATTCATAACTAATATCATTATAATCTAGTTAAATTTTTTTTAAGTACTATTTTCCTTAAGTAAGTCCGAGTTATTCGAATAGATCAATGATAACTAAACATTCGCATTTGCTTTTCTTAACCCTAATCAATTTATATTAATTTGGGTTTTAGTTTTGTGGTGAGGTGTTGGATCAGTAGAGTAAAATGAGGTCATGAAAAAAATAGATAAATCAGTTTAAATTTATAATTGGATGATTTTTTAACTTATTTGAATCCATTATTGTTTGCATAATTCACATAACATAGCTATATGAACGTAAGATAATTTTATATTAAAATAAAGGATCTTTAAACGATAAAAGTTTGTTGAAGAGAATTTTATTTATTTTTTAAACTAATGAATTTTAAGCTGTTATAAAAATATAGTACTCCTTCTATTTTTCGATAATTATAAAAAATTACTGAAAATAAGTTTTTATAAATACAAATTTAGTTATAAATTCAAAAAAATTGTGAAACTTTTTTTGAATCATCTATCAGTTAAAATTATTTTTATTATTATTATTAGTTAAAGTTATTAAGAATGTAGATAAATCTATTAACTTTAAAATTTGTAATTGACCAACTTTTTCACTTATTTTTCCTATAATTGTTTATTATATAGTTTTTGTATTCTCACAACATAGCTATTTAAATATACAATTGTTTAATACATTTATACATTTAATATATTATTTAGTACATTTAATATACATTTATTTAATAAAGTAATGTAACAAAGAAAAATAACATAAAATAATAATTACAATAATCTTTTAAAACGTAAGAAAATATTAGGAAGTATAAAAGCGTATTAACAAAAATATCAATTTAATGTGAAAATTACGATATTTTATATAAGCCATTTAAGCAATTTTTTTCATAAAAAATTATAAAAATAGTTGGCCGGCTATAATTTCTTCTCTGTGTCTTAATCTTACAGAAGGCATAAGACTCCCATTTATAGGAGTAGTGTCTCCGCGTGCAATTTTTTCGGCTAGCTCGACCGTAAATGGACCACAGTCATACCCATTAGTTTGGCGAGTCATCTCACCGATTTTTAAAGTCCAAGACGAAGCTGCTCCCTTTTTATCCATCTCCCAGTCAGTTAGATACTCTTTCAGTACCATAGGATAAGGACCATCGTAACACTTAAGACTGTCATATGATGTCACAGTTCTTTTGGGTACGTTTACCACAGTCAATATCCAATGTCCGCCAACATTCATTGGCACAAAAAGTAACTTTAATGAATGGATATCTTTTTTAATCCATCTTCTTACAGCTGGATAACCTCCTCGAAGATATGCTGGTATGAAGTCGGTAACGACAGCATGAACTTCGCCATTGGACCTTTTCACTATCAATTTAAGATAATCATTAATTGTGTCCGAAGTGTACCAAGATTTAGGGGACTTAAACGAAGGCGCGTTATACTGATCTAGTTCATTTGTGTTCGGATCATGCGTCACTTCTACAAGAGTTAAAAACTTCTCATAAATTACTTNCTGATCATTCGTCACCTCTACAAGAGTAAACATATTTAAAAACTTCTCATAAATTACTTAAGCTACCTAAATGGTTTAATATGAGTTGAATTTTTCTTAGGTTTTGGAATATAAGATTAAACACAATTAAACATAATATGTGTTATGGATATTTCTATGTGACATAAATATTAAAGAAATCAATAAAAAAAAAGTATATTAATTTACCTATTTCTTTTTCCGGTATTTCATCAATTTCGACAACGGACACGGCAGGCAACAGTTCATTCATATTTGAAGTCGAAACTTCAGGACTAACTTTAAACTCTAAAAAATTAATGTTTAAAAATAGTGTATAATTGTTAAAATAAACTAATGAAAGGTCAAATTTTTAAAATAGAATTTTTGTTTACTTTTTATGATTTTCTCATCTTTTTCGGATGATTTTCTCTTTAAATTTGGGCTTTCGGAAGATGATAACTCTTGTAGTTGCTCTTTTGCTCCACATTTTGTGTGTTCTAAATGAGTTGTTTTTTCTTTTGGAATTTCTTTTACTATATCAGTAGACACTTCTGGTAATGTAACGTCATTTGACGTCGTCGCATGTAAAAGTTCAGAACTAATTTTTGGCTCTAAAAGTATTTATGTTTTAAAATATAAGAAAATAATTTCAATAAACATAATATGCAAGTTAATATTTATAAAAAAAATTATTGTGTACTTTTTATGATTTTCTCATCTTTATCGGATGACTTTCTTTTTAAATTCGAACTTTCAGAAGAAGATATTTCTAGGAGCTGCTCTTTTACTTCATATTTTGCGGGTTCTAAATGGATTATTTTTTCTTTTAGTGTTTCTTTTACTTTATCAGTAGACACTTCAGGTATTATAACGTCATTTGAAGGTTCATTATTAGCTTCTAATTCTTTAAGTATTAAGAGTTTAAAGTATAAAATAATTGTTTCAATAATCGAAATGTAGTTTAAATTTTTTTATGTACTTTTAATGACTTCATTATGTTCTTTGGATAAGTTACTTTCTATATTAGGGCCATCATTATCATTGGAAGATACTTCTATGGGTTGCTTTTTTTCATCGCATTTGTTGCGATGCAAGTGATTCTTATGAAAACTCTTAACGAATCATAAGAACATATTAAATTATAGGATAAATTTTAGTTAATTTATTTAAAAAAATCTACGTTAAGTCAAAAGAAATGTTTAGGCTACATATTGATTCTATTAAATATAAAAAAATACAAAATAAAATTTACTTTTCCTAATAAATATTTTGGTATTGTTGGTGTTTTGTCATTATTTAGAATTGGCATGTAACTCCTTTTTTGTGGTACTGATAATTTTTCTTTATACTTTCCTGATTTTTCATTTTTTATCAGTGTTGTAATATCTCCTCGCTGTATCAATTTCTAGGCGTAACCAATGACAAATTAAAATGAATAATTGGAATAGAATGAATATGTTATTAATATCTTCCATAAAAAGTCTCTATTCTTTAAAAATCTTTTTGGAAATCAAAAAGATTAAGATGTTAAAATTGAAATTATTTAACATCTATTACTAATATCTCGAAAAATAATACATTTATACAGCTGCTAATAATAATAACAAATATTAAATTATTTCTACTAAATTGTAAGGATCGATATATCTATACAATTTGAATTACCACTTTTTCTGCAATAATTTCATCGCTTTCAAGTTGTTTACGATAGGTTCGTTTTTTTGGTGTAACTGTATTTTTTTCAGTGTTAATATTTCCACTAGAATTTGCTGTTACGAGAATATTATTTTAAAAGTTATTAATTTTGAAAATTTTTACGGTGAAAAAATGCATTGACGTTGATATTATATCTACTCTAATGTTTATAATTTACGAAATAGTGAATAATATTAAAATTTTTTTATCTACAATAAAAAAATAATTATTATTTATCAAAAAGGGAATAATCTTTTTTAATTTCTTGTTATATTTTATATCTAATCGTTTTCACGTCTCTTGATAATTAGTTTAATTAATCTTAATAGTGTCTACAGTTATTAATTTCACCTTTAGACTGTCTTGATGTTTGGGGATCTTCTGGACTATCAACGACTAAATTGGAACTCATGAAACGACGATTCCAGAATTCTTCAATTCGGCGTTTCACAACATTCATATTTGTTTCATAAATATGGCTATCCGTATTGTTTTCGCTTGCCATATTAATAATTAATTAGTTAAATAACTTTGAATACTTACACGAGATGATAGCTTATTATGACGAGCAAACACAAAGTGATCCCAATGTCAACATAGACAACGGTTATATATGATAAAGTCATGATTGTCATGGAGAGTTAATTCGTTGAATTCTTTTATTATAAGCCACTTAAATATTTAAAAATTAAAAATAATTAATTATCATATTTCATATTGTTTCGTCAAAATCGGTCCAGCGAAAGCTGAGATTGAATGGTAACAGAAAAACAAATTAAATTAAACACATTTTAGTAAATATAATATTTCACATCGAAGTTAAAACTATTAATTTTTTAATGAACTCATAATAAATGTAGGAGTAGTAAACAATTAAATATTATAGTAATTATCATTGTACAATCCATTAAAGACATTTATTTTTAAGACTCTGGTTGGGTTTTAGTTTTCTATTTTATTAAAATTTAATCAATTCCGTCATTAGCTGCATTTTGATTTCTTAACTTTGCTACTTAAGTATGAAATTTTGTCATATTAAAACTGATAAATTTCATTGTATTTTAAGAAAAATGATTACATTTGATTTTACCATTATAAAAAAAAATCAATTTTTTATACTATACTAAAGATTTAACTATATTGAAATTATTTACAAGTTTGGATCAAAGTTAAAAAAGAACAATAGTTTTTGTTTTCCTACTCTGACAGACAAATTGTACTTTTCATTAAAATCTTGTATTGTACTGAATTTGTAGAAATAGTAATAATAGGTTCATAGTCTTCCTTACCCAAAGAATGAAAAGTATCAAGATTTGATAAAATTATTTTAGGATTACAAAATTCCATTAATTCTGACTAAAATGGTTTAGTATTAATTATTATCTAGTGTATGTAAAATGTGCCAGTTTTATTTAATAGTCTTCTAGTATTTATGCATAGAGTCTAAAATTTTTTTACAGTTTATAAGAAATAATTGACAAATTATGGAAATTAAGACATTCATGTAGCTAAATTGCATAGCTGACACGCCGTTTCATATCACGAAAATAAACATTTGGTTTAATTAAATGGGTATTATATAGTGTATTTACACAAATTTTAATTAACTTTCTATTATATAATATTGATATTAATTTTTAAATGAATTCAGAGTTTTATAAGTTTTTATTTACAATGGCCATTATTGAAGTGATCTTACAAATTTAGATAATTTTAATAATTAATTTTAATATTCGATTTTTATATTTAATTTATTGTTTTTAACTTATGTAACTACTTATTAAGTAATAAGTAATACTATAGTGTATCACTAAATTCAGCAAATTCCTTAGAAAAATTGATCTATTATCAGTTTTATACAAAATCACTTAATTCTAAATTTTAAGTTATTGATAAATTTAAGAAAATATTTTGACGAGAACATCTTATGTTTTAATCATCTTTAAGGGATAGTATTTTTAAATAACTGTTATTTACTTTTCAAAGTCAACTAATTTACTTGCTCTTTTTTAAAATAATATTTTCGTTTTACTATTAAGTAAAACAAATTAAGTACCTTAGAATGTCTAATGTATATTACAAAATAATATTAATAATTAATGCGTTATAAATTATATAAGTGTCCTACACTCCGATTGCCCGAACTGTTGCAGAGATCAGACTAGCTAGTCGATAAGTGGAGAGACACTTTAGAGAACGCTTATAATTAGTTGGAGTATTAACTATAATATTATTGTGCTAGTACTCTGTCCAGCCAGGATGTGGCGCTTCAATAAGTAATAGTGTTGGGGCCACGGGCACTAAATATTTTAGTGCGTACCCGAACCGGCTAATTTCACCAATACCGATCAGGCTGCGTAGTGTGGTGTATGTAAATAGAATCACTGGTGGTGGGAGGGCTCGCCTGCGCAGCAACCAGTGATCTATGTAGTGCTCAAGTGTGTACTGTATGTATATATGTTTTGTGTGTGCTCTTAAACTAAGTAAATAAATAATTCAAACCTTTTTACAACAATTGATAATAATAATTTAATGAATAACTTGATTAGATAATTTTAGCCCTTTTAGCTCAACAAATAATGTAAATATGTACTCTAAAGCTATATAACAGAATAACAACAAAAAAAATAAACTCTACAATTTTGATGACAGTATTAAATCAATTCAATAATTATAATAAACAAATTTAATTCAAAATAAAATTCAATGGTATTCACAATTCGCAGAGCTGCTGGCCAGAGTTGCTACCTAACACTAAAACAAGGATCACAATAATAACAAATGAACTTAAGACTACAATTTGGTAACTTAAATTTAAATATCACAATTGACTAGCTTAATTTTATTAATTAGTAACAACAATAAATCTTTCCGTCAGCTAATTAGTAGCTTTAAGGAAGTCACAATTAGTGCAACAAGATTTTTGTAAACAATCAATGCTATGATAGAAAAATAACTTCTTCCTGTTACAATAATTAAATTACGTTTTCAAGAAAATATACGAAATTCAACAATAGAAAAACAAAAAACAATGTGTATATACTGGTTGTTACGCAATACAATGTTGTACTATACTTCACTACAGTATATTATATAAGTGATTATGTGCGTGTGTGGTGTGTAGTGTGTGATCAGCTGATCGGCCGGTAGTAGCGATGTCCACTACTACTTGTGTAGTATGGAGTAGGTGTGGTGATAAAAGTTAGACCGGTCCGAGTACACTGAACGCGCGTGCGTGCAACATAATAGTGTGTTGCAGCTGCAACAAATAGAACACAATGCAATCTAGTCGTGTAACCTTTTAGTATACTTATATATATATATAAATCTAGATAAAAAGAAATAAATAAACACCAATATTTTATATGTGTTAGAATATTTATATCACCAAAAGTATTCGACCAAAAATAAGATGTATAATATTTTCAGTAATTACGAAAGAGGGTAAAAATAGTGCAGATTTTATATGAAATTGTAACTAAGAATGAAACATAAACTCACGCACATTCATTTTTTGTATCATGGTTGAGAGTTCCAAAGAGCAGTAGATGCAGAGATAGAATGACAAGGCGTCCCAGTGTCCGCTAGAGAGATATTCAGAAACCGAACATAACCACCGTAAGAGAAGCGAAACCTTAAAGGAACCCTGCAAGAGAACCACCCGAATTTGGGGAAAAATGGCCTTTTTATAGCCCTCAAAACTGGTTTAGCGATCTCTGGTGAAATTCTTGAAATATTTTTTGCTGTATTTGATTGGTTAATGTGATAGAATCTTTTACGTGGGCGTTTTATGGAATGCGTAAGAGAGTGGTTAAATCTTGTGTAAGGGTATTATTTTATTACTCATCTTATCCACGGGGGAACACTGATTTGGTGATATATTTTATTAAATATAAGTATTAATTATTACATGTATTAAAATGTGATATTACATTTAGCCGACAGTAGTGGCGTACTGAGGATTATTGTACTGTGGTCTTTCTTACTTATTAGTGGTCACTGTGCAGGGAATGGTGGGGGTGACCACCTCTACGGACATATTAGTTAGTCGGCAAATTTTATATCCTAAGTGACCTTTTTATTTTTTGCAAAAAATGTTAGTGAACACTGGTAAACTAACTTGTAGTCGGTAGTTTTTCCAACTAACACCCCACCATGGTCAGTGGTTTACTTAGTCGTTCAGTGCGCTCGTAAATTACCTCATTTATATCATACTTTTATACCAACACTCAATATAACTAAATGACATAAGTTATAACTAATAATTATTAAATCAAATTTAAAACTAACTTTAGGTTAGGTATAAAGTAATAATGTTACTTTTATTTGTAACATTGAGATTTATATTCAAATAAAAAAATTACTAGAAATATTTAATTATATTTATGTAGATTTTCAAATATTTATTACCTATGTAATAAAAAAAGAAAAGAAAAGAATGGTTAAGGGTGTTTTTGTCATAAAAAAAAGAAGAATGGAAAACGTATAATAATTGACTATGTATGTGATATTTATACTTTTGTCATAAAAAAAGAAAAGAGTGGTAATAAGATATGAATATAGATATTAATTATAATAATAAAAAGAACGAAGAGAGATAATTATAATGAAGGAAATAAAATAAGTGGCCATATGTGTGATATTTATATTTTTTATAATTAAGAAAGAGGAATAATAATAGAATATAGATGTTATATATAGATTTTATGGTTAACGGATTGTTGAAGTACGTTTAGCTACAAGGTGAAAATATAGCATACAATATATATATCCATGAACTCTTTATTAAGATACTACCACCACACGTGGTTTGTCGTAAAAAGTAAATTGAAGGAAAATTATATTTGGTATGACGCACACCTGAGTCATATTAATTGTACAATGAAATGTGCAATGATTATAGAGGAGGATTTTACGACTATTAATATTTATTGGTCATGCTATATGAATGGGAAACAATGTGTGTTCATGTAAGATGCTACTGTCCAATTGTTGGAATCTTTATACAAGTTAAAACATCTACGTTGAACGCGTACTATTATGATCCGAATGGTGAGAAAGTAGTTATTATTAACTTATCAAATAATCCACCTTTAACAATTCTATTATTCCCTCGATAAAAGTTATTCTTGATTTATCTTAAGTCTATCCTTAATTTTATGACATGCTTAGAAATATAATTTCTTACCTTGTGTCCAGCTAGCTTGATTGTTTATTGCGTAAAAGATATATATATATAAAGAGAGCACTGACTTTTATCTACTTATTAATTTTTGTAAAATTATGCAAATTATTAAACTTGAAATATTACTTCACTGTAGTTCCTTTCTATACTTGGTGTCTGAGTATATATGTTACTTTATATTTTAAAATAAGGAAAATTATATAACCAGATAGCTTATGAGAACCAATCCCTAGTGACACGTTATAAACTTTTGTTTTACGAATAGTTTCAACCGCTAGATGTGCTAGGGTAATGACTTCAATAAACTATCGATATTTTATGAAATTGTGTATTTGACACGAGAGTCGACAGAGTTAGAGACAGGCTGGCTACACCATCGGAGATTACTCTCGTCGATGCACGGGACCTTACAGAGTCAAAAACTGCTTGCCGAAAAGAACGTAATGGAATATGAGAATCAATCCCTAGTGACACGTCACAAATTATTGTTTTACCAATAATTTCAACCGCTAGATGTGCTAGGGTAATGATTTCAACAAACCATCAGTATCTTGTGCAATCAATCAAACACGTATCTACTCAAATTCAAAGTACATTCTACGATCTCCTTAGTGACACGTCACAAACTATTGTATTACAACAGTTTCAACCGCTAGATGTGCTAAGGTAGATTTTCGAAATGCACTTATTAAATAGACACTCCAATTGAAGAATTAAAAAAATTCTTAATTGGAACAACTCACAAAATACAAAATAAAAAATTTAATTGTCTTAATAATTCATAATAATTTAAAATAAATAAAATAAAAAGTTTAAGTTATTATTGTTTTTATTACATTACTTATAAGAGAGTTAGATAAAAAAACACCAAGTGTGAAAAGATTCTGTCAGAGAGAGCACATCGCGAAACAGTCTGGTACAGAAACGCTTCATGGCCAGATTTTTATAAAAAAAAATAAGGTGACGAATGAGCTCGAAATTGGTCTTTTACAGGCCTGTTTTATGAGGGAGAGAATTAGTTTAATTTGCACAATGCTTCTCATTTGCTAGTTAATTAATTTAGAGAGATCTATGCGCAATCTACTGTTCTACTAATATGCGTTAATATTTCATACATGTATTGGTGTTTTTATATCCATCATCTCTCATTATAATGCGGTTTATTAAAAAAAACCATTATTATAAAAATATAAATAAAATAAAATTATAAGTTCTAAATAACTATTACACCTATTTTAGTTTTTAAATTTATAGTTACAGTAAATTTATTTAATTTTTGTTTTCAATGGCTGCATTCATTTCCACAATAGGATATTATTTTAAATTCTAATCCAATACAAAAATAAATCACTAAAATATAAATAAATTTATCATTTTATTTTATTATTATAATAAACCATTTAATATATTCTTAACTTAATTGAATGTAATTCAGAAAATTTCTAAGAAATATTATATCAAATGAAGGCTAGATTTAATAATTCATTTTGGCTGCTAGAATTATCCAAGATATTTTTTAATAATTTTCTATATTTAAACTCTAGAATTATTAACTATGTAATAATTTTTAAGTTCATCTCGAATGCCTTGTATGTATATCATTATTTTTTCAAATGAGAGCACTATATTTTAATTAACTACTTGCTAGTATTCTTGTTTATTCAAAAGTACAATTACCATAAAAAAAAATGACTTTTAATACACAGACATTTTAATAATTTATATTAAAATTATAATTATACAATTTAATAATTTTTCATACGAACCAGCTTGGTCTAATGATTAGACTCTAATCTTTGAGTGGGTTAGCTGTGTAAAATAAAGACTCTATTGAGAAGATAGAGAGTCCACGTGTGGTTCTTACTTTAGGTATTATTGACACGGCTCACAGTCAGTACAAACTTAGATAACTACTGGTACGAGTGGCGTTATTGATACATAATGTGTAATCACAATAATTTCTTTGTCAAACTATTATATCAATAAATTTACAAGCATCACTTTTTTCTCTATATTTTACATCTTACCATAAATCCCTGGTACTTTACCCCGAGAGAAAATTATGTTATATCATTTTATTCAATAAGAGCAATAATAACTCAATCATTCTCATGCTCATACACCTCCATCTAATTAATTTATGTATTTCATTTTGAGTTTACTATATATATGAGAAAGTGGTATTTTGGGACGATTAATTGAAGATCTATGACTTTTAATTTTAAGTTTAACAAAAATTTATTTTGACTATTTCATGGGTGACATACTCTTTGCGCGTATCAGAATAACATTTACTAAACATTGACTTACCGGTGTATTTACGCCATTTCACTAATAAGAAATTGCATGATTAACAATTGATGGTTGTTTAATGATTAGAAAGTTTATTAATAATCTTACTTTTATTGCAAACAATTAATTGGAAAATTTCTAGTATTGATTGGGTTATGATTGGTGGTGGATAATGTATTTTTAACTAAGAAAATTCTTTACAATCTCTTTGTACACGTCAAAAAAGTATTATTTTAAAAAGAAACTTTTCTGATCATAATTTTTACGATTTATGCTTGAAGAATACATTGGAAATTTTAATTCAATTTAGTCGAAACTAAGCATAGTCAAAAATGCTTTTTGTAAGTACTGTAAGCAAAATATCAAGTATTTATTATTTTATTTTTATATTACTTTATATTTATTCACTATATTAATTTAATACAAAATTTTCCTAAGAAATATACTGTTCATAAGACTCTGACATTAATTCTCCTCTTGGTCAGCAAATCAATTGCCCGACTTGAAGAATTCACAAGTACGTTATCATCCGAAACGATCAAAAATATTCAGGGAACGTTTAAGGAATCATTATCACTGGCAAAAAAAATCATTCAGATGATAAATTATCGCTCGTTCATCTTATACTGATTATTGGTAAAGTACTAACTCTTATAGTGGGAGCTATCATCGAACCATTACTCGTTAATATAGCCAAAGGTATCACATGGGCCATCACTTATTCTTTAGCCACAAGTTAGCACAAGACGACGTGGTCGCTGTTAGTCGGTAGTAGATGCTCTCGACACGATTGTCTTCTTATGTTATACTAATTCATTACTCATGTCGAAATTTTCTCAATAGGATTTGCCNGTTTGCCAAAATGCTAGGTTATGAACACTTCATCCCACAACTTGAAAACTCCGAACATGGTCATAAATTTCCAATTGCATATTCAGCTCTAAAAGAACTACCCCAGTTTGCGTTTGCCCTTACTAACGGGTTAGTAACGTATGACTAGTAATCTTCAGCTCAAACCGAAGTCTTCGAAAACGTCGAAAGAAAATTGAATGGCTTAAAATTGGACAAAACAAGCAAGAAATATTAAAAATACGCGAATTAAATTGTATAACATTTTGCTTCTATATTATAGAAAATTTACTAATGAGATTAATTATGGTTTTAATTTAATAAGTTTTGTTATTCTTTATTTAATTAATTTGTTCATATAAAAATATTATATAAAAAAATAAAAATATCTGTAATTTTTAAAAAAATAAAAAATACAGTTTTTAGATATTCATATATCTTATAATTTAATTTTAATTTTTTTTTTAAATTTCAATCATCGAAAATATATAATTAATCAATCACTTAATATATCTTATATTTTTAATGGACTAGTATGAAAAAAATTACTTTTAGTCATACTTTTTTACGAACAATAACATTGTTTTATAATAACATATTATATAACTTTGCCTTTTAAGATTTTTGCATTACATGCTATGTAAGTATAGAATGTATCTAGCAGTGTCATAAAAATATGAACAATTTACACTTAATATATTTAAATAATTGCTTTTAATAATAAAAAACACTTTACTTATACTTAAACTTTTTGTCATCACTATCAAAAATGTACAGCCTTTAAAACGCTCGGAAAAATCATTGCTAAGTTTAATGAATTTTTGTTTATCTTCTTCCAATTTTGGAGATCTGCTATATTCATTATACATTAAAATTATTTGATCAATCCGTTCTCTACGTAAACGATAATCTCTAAATTTTTCTGATAGAAAATTGAAAAATATTAAGGCTTCATAACAATGATGACTAAACTTATCGTGTTCTTTTGGTATTTGTTTTATCGTATTTGCTGTGAATTGACTATATTGAACTAACATTGTAATTCTAACACTTTCAATAACATTTCTAAGCCAAACTATGGCTTCCATTGAATCGTTATATTCTTGTATGGCTTGATCAGTAATTTGTTGTAAGGTTCTTCCAACAGCAGGCGTGCGGTATATTAATTGAGGAGATGTACCTAAATAATCATTATCAAAAGGTACAGGATTATCAATGTCTTCATTTAAGTCGATTTTTTCAAAGTTTTTGATTGAAACTTGATCACTATTGTACACAGTACCCTTCTCTATTTTCAATAGCATGGAATTTCTTGTGGTTTTGTATATGTTTTTAGAGACTTCAAGTGTTATATTCTTCATATTAATGTTCTCACACGTACAGATTTTAACTAAACAAATGAACAAAAATGCATAATTAATTAAAATCATGTCGAAGAAAATTACAAAAAACTATGAGTGAAAATCTAATGTAGATATGCTGATGAGAAAAAATCATTACAACATAATATTTGATATACGTGGACTTTTTAAATCGAATAAACTGTTTTTACATTTTTCTGTAAATAAAAATACTAATTGTCGTAACTCAAAAAAATTGAATAAAAAATAAAATTAAAATAATTAGAGGAAAAAGGGTTAGAATGATTATTTTTGTTGTTGTTAGAAAATGTGTAAGTGAGAGTTACTTTTGATTCGGGGTGTAATTCGAGGGTCATAAAATAACAATGTAAAAAAATCTTACCTGCTAAATTCTCTGGTTCTTATAATTATCCTAGTGATGATGTCGGTGAAAATAATAAATAAAGTACACAAGTTCAGATTTTTAGTTTACAAATTAACACATAAAATTCGACAATGACGATTATGACGTTCGCACAACTTAATGTGGAGCACGATAAAAACAGTCCAATATGGAGCATGAAATGAACAGCCCAATACAGAGCACGAAATGAACAGACAGGAGCAAGGGTTTGCTCTGGCTTTTTATAATATTTTTTTACCCCCACAAATCGTCATTGTCGAATTTTTAATATAATTGTTTATTGATAAATAAGCATGAAACTGTAATAAACAAAAAGAGACTCAGGAGAAACGAGTGAGTGTAGGTATGTAGTCTTGTAATAAATAAAATGGCTATAATAAGGTGGCGAAGGAATGTTGTTAAATGTGTTTGGGGCTCGGGGTGTGAAAGGGAAGGAATGTATTGAAATGTAACACAGGTGGCCAATAAGGAAATAATAATCGTAGCAGGCGTAGTGTAAAAAGGATGGGTACCAATGGAAAGCAAAATTGTCTATAGATACCCGGTAGTGACTACAATAAAATGAAATAGAAAGGGATCTCGGGGTATGTATGCTTATGTAAAAACGTCTAATGTATGAATAAGATGGAATTACAAAGAAGGGTCACTACCTAGCTCCTGCACAGAAACGCGCACACAAATTTCCGGCGATTCACAAATATCGTGCCTTTTATAAAAATATTTCAGTTTATTCTTAATGACTTATCCTATTCTAATTGTTTATTACTAAAAAATTCTTCAGTAAAGGATCTATTATAGACTTATTATGTAAACAAATGTTCCACTTACCTCTGATTATCCTGATATTCTCTTGAGATGAACGATGTTGTTGATGTAACAATTATCGATGTATACGTTCACGCATTCATGTACGCAATTATATTTATACGGTTTATATTATTATTAACTCGCGTGTAACTACTTTTTTAGTACAATTCTATATTAAATCTACCCAAGGTGAAATCTAAGTTTGTTATAACTCTGTCTTTTTGCAAAAACCTTTTGTATATTTATGTAGTATAGTTCTTAACCTTGTATATGATGTTTTACGTTAATATATTTATTATTTAATAATTTATAAAGCAAATGAATAACTTCTAAGCAACATAACTGTCCTGTGCAACAAAACTATTTCCAAGTGGCCTACGTCTTTTCAGTCGTCCAAATGGTGATCTAGGGTAGATGCGAGCTCAATTTCAGTTCTTTGCACAATAGATTATACTAGTGTCCTACACTCCGATCACCGGCACTGTGGCATAGATCAGACTAGCTGGTCGATAAGTGGAGAGACACTTTGAATAAATCTTATGATTAACTAAAATTCTAATTATGATATTATTGTACTATTACCCTGTCCAGCCAGGTTATGGCCCTTCAATAAGTAATAAGTACAATTCAGTCAAATTAATTACCTTAGAATATGCTTATATATATATAGGAATATAAATGTAAATAAAAGAAATAAATAAATACCAATATTTTATATGTATTAGAATATTTATGTCACCAAAAGTATTCGACCGAAAATAAGATGTATAATATTTTTCAGTAATTACGAAAGAGGGTAAAAAATTATGTAGATTTCATATAGAATTGTAACTAAGAATAAGACATAAACTCACGCACATTCGCTTTCTGTATCTTGGTTGAGTATTCCAGAGAGCCGTAGAGATGTATAGATAGAATTGCAAGGCGTCCCAGTATTCGCTAGAGGGATATTCAGAGGAACCACCCGAATTTGGGGGAAAATGGCCTTTTTATAGCCTGCAAAAACTGGTTTAGCGATCTCTGGTGAGATTCTTGAAATATTTTTGCTGTATTTGATTGGTTAATGTGATAGAATCTTTTACGTGGGCATTTTATGGAATGCGTAAGAGGGAGGTTAAATCTTGTGTAAGGGTATTATTTTATTACTCATCTTATCCACGGGGAAACACTGATTTGGTGATGTATTTTATTAAATATAAGTATTAATTATTACATGTATTAAAATGTGATACTACAAAACATAGAGATCAATACAGATGAATAGGACATAAATTATTTTGACATATATAACATTAATATGTTTTTTAACAAGCAAGACGAAAATTGATACAATGCATTTATCTATTAATAGTAAAATAACAAAGATGACAAAAGTAATATATAGATTTTCTTTTGGCGAGGAAGGGTTTTAAAAGTAATTATTAATTGATTTATGACCGAACCGCATGCACTACAATGTAGTTAAACAGTGTGAGTTTTTTGACTATTTCTCTTAAATGTTTATCTAAGTTTTTGTTCGAAAAGGATCATGTCCTTGTAAGAATATAATGTATAATGAAACAAGTTGAAATGTACCACTTCTATGGATAGAAGTGGTGACTATTTGAAATGAAAAAAGAATATACTAATAAATACTAAAAAGATAGCATTGTTGAGTACATGAACATGGTATTTTAGTGTTGTCTCTTATAAACAATTGTGACGATTATATTACGACATAATAATATATTTTTCATAAATTATAGGTAGCAAACATTAGTTTATTTTTGAATTTATAAATGATTACATTTTGGCGTTTCATTTATATATTACAATAAGGTCGCAAAAAAAAAAATTAATAAATAGTATAATAAATTCATATAGATATTAATTTTTCCCTCTTTAATTTTTTTGTTTTGGATTACACACAACACTGAAGATTAGTCATTAAATAATTTCATAAATAAAAACAAATTGTATTGAATTAAAATTAAATTAGTTAATGAATAGATAGTTCTTGAAAAAGTACACAAAAATATTAAACAAATTATTCACCAGTTGTTGAAATATGTAATAAACAAAAATGTAAAATAATGTAATATTAATAATGGTGGAATGGTAAAGATGAATTATGAGGTTAAAGAGAATCACGGGGTCGAACTATGTTGAGTTATCAAATAATAAAACATCTCTACCTAACTTATTTTTGTTTATTACGTTAATTTTTAAGGAGTAAAACTGCAAATAAATAAACATTCGAACTTACCTTTTTTTCCTTTCGTAGTTGATTGAATTAATCTTATGGTAATTTTTCGCTTCAGTGGCGAATATTCATTACATGTATATTGGATTGAAAAGAATTCTCTTCAATGGCATCTGCGTCTATTATGATTTGTTTTTTTTTTATACTTTTTATATTATACTATGTTTTTACTAATAATATTTTATATGAATTTCCTATATCGATATTGATATTCACAAAATTCTCTCTTAACTTGTCTAAATATTATTGTAAGAGTATTAAGTAAAATTAAAACTATATTAAAAATATTATTAATTTAAAAACTAAAAAATATTTAACTCAAAAATGATGCAGACCAAGGCGAAAATACGCCTGATAGGAGCTGATATATTTTTTCTCAAAAAGTGTATTAATTTCCCTATGACTCCGAAGTTTGTCAGATACCAAGTAAGTCAAATAATAATAATATTAATTTTTTCGAGTCAATAAATTTCGCTCAGGAGAAATTTCATAAGTTAGAAAAAAAAATCAACAAGACTGTGGTTGCCCAGCGTTTTTCAGCGTAGTGCCTTGACTGGCACAGACACAGTTAACCTCGTTGATATATATATATTAAATATTATTTCAATACACCTTTTACTATCCTTTACGCCACCTGCCTACGCGTTACGCCGAGAGGTAATTGTCCTTTATGGCCAGCCAGTACACAGGCAAAAGAATTACTACTAAGACTAATTTTTTCTAATCACAAATTACGCTTCTTCACTCTTCTTGGTACATTTAAGGCTGTCCAGAAATGAAGGGCACAATAATATTTAAAACCTATACAAAATACAAACTATATTTATTTCTTATAAGGATATAGATGTGCTAAGTTTAATATAAAAGGGCACAAAAACTCTCTTACTTCGACTCACTCCTTCTTCACTTTATGATCTTTCAACAAGTCCGAAGGTAAATGTTCGCGCCGCAGAATAGGGCGACACCGTGTAAATCTATCACATTTCATGTTGTCTTTTTGTGATAAAAGACTGATATTTTTTATGGTTATGGAACTACATGTGTTAATGGAAGAAATATGTTCTTCTGAATAATCCTTTTATGTGGATTTTTTTTGTTCTAAGCCAATTGTGGTCTACTCAGATATATGAAGAAAGAAGAAATAGGTTCTTCTGAATAATCCTTTTGTGGATATTTTGTTCTCAGCCAATTGTGGTTGCTCATTTTGTCAGGATATGTGTACCTCACAGCAACATCATCTCAAGTAAAAATTGCTAAATTAAATAAAAGAAGTCAAACCATAAATTTGTTCCTCATCCACTTATGCATAAGTATTTATTGATGTAAAGAACTTGTTCTTTTCTATTGGCAAGTTATAATAATATATTATATCTATATTTATATACATTTATAATGTGTGTGAATTGAGATTTAAGTCATTTAATATTGTTTGCGCCAAGTGTGAGAGCTGCACTGGTTGGGTGTAGTCAGCTGGTAGTGCTTGTGCGCTATCACCTGTTAAGACGCCTTATCAGCTTATTACCGTGTTGTTCGGTCGGTCGTTTTTTATTCAAAATGTGTGTACCTTTTGTAATATTATAGTGTTAGGTTAAATTGGCTTATTAGTTTAAGTGTTATTTTTTTTTGTATTATTGAAAGAGGAAAACGTTATTCAAGTTTTATGTCAAAATACATATTCCATATTATTTTCTAAAGGTATACAGTTGTTTTCATTTTCATTTTATTTTCTTTTACATTGGCTGGTATATTATTACAATAAAACTGCGGGTATTGTATTACTACTATAAACTCATTTTATTCATATGGAGCATAAATAAATGTAAGTAGTATGGATTATCATATTTATTAATTATTTAATTCAGCAATAATAAAAAATTGGTTGTTGTTATTTGAATTATTTAGTTATATTTATTGAGTTAAACAATCCTATTTTGGATAAACAAAAAATATTTTTCATTTAACAAATTTTAAATTGATTAAGAAATTTTTGTTGATTAGAAGTTGCCCATATTTTAAGCCGTACGGCCAAGTTCTGTTTCCCATTTATATTTGGGATTTTTTAGAACAGCCCAGGCGGAAACAAATATATTCCTTGAGAAATTAAATATAAATGTTGTTAAATGTTTACTAATTGTTAAGATTATGTATAGTTTAATGTTATAATAATATATTTTTCATTGACATTCATCTTTCATTATAGGAAAATTAAATCATTCATTGTTTTATCAGAATATAATTATTGTTATTCTTCTCAAATGAAAATTTGTTTGTGTTCTTTTACCAGTTAAGGCCTTGTGAGCCCAGTAGCCCTTTCAGTAAACATACATTTCACATTATGTAGAAATGCATATTATAAGATAGGGCTGCAATCGTTTGCGTGCGGTCGGTTTAGCTGTGATCTTATTTACGAGTTTTGGACGACCGGCAGCAAATGGTAAAATATTAGTATATTACTATATTGGGTAATTAATTATTAGAATTAACTACGCGTACACTCTTCCTTATCGCGGTTGCTATAATTGTATAATTTGCTATTATTATTTTCATCTCTATTTTCTGCTGCGACCTTTGAAATATGTGTATTGCTTTTTACCCACCAGCCACCGCTGATCTGCAATCTTATTGATCTAATAACCTATAATATTCACATCAATCCCATCGAATTATCTTTATTTCGATGTGACCGTTGAGTGTTATGTTAAACATGTCACCTCTATAACAAAATTTTAATTTCGAAAAGATATATTTTATTGGATTAGACTACAATTTCTTTTAAAAAACGGTAATAGGTAGAATAAAGATTGTTATGCCGCCGACTCGAAAACACCTCTTGGTCGGGGCACTCAGTATTTTCGCCTTTATGGACACGACTTGAATCTTAATTAACTAAAATTTAATGACAATACTCTTCAATATTAACAGAACAAATGTATATTTATTATCACTAAACACAATATTACATAAATTAATATACCATTACTACACAATTATATGTTTAAATGGTCTATATGCAACTTGGTTACTTCATTTATTCCGTCTTCACACAAAGAAAAGAAACGTTCTCCACGACATGAACCAGCGGATGGGCATCTAAAAGTTTCTCTTTGCTACCGAAATGGCGATCACGGATCTTAACTGTGGGCTCTCAAGTTGAGGCACTCAACTGTATGTTTCAGCATAACCGCCAACACACAGACTCGCCGTACACCACGACGCGCAACAATTCAGATCGCGTTAGCCGGTGGTACGAAAGTGGCGCTACATCTGATCGGCAGCCAAATAAAGATAATTTCTGTTTATATTCTCACATAAAAAGAAAATTGTTATGTTACGTCTAATGTTATGCTTTAAATATGTAATATTTTAACAATATTTCATTTTAAAATACCTTTTAATAAATTTAATTATTTTTACTCAGTTTTAATATTTACAATTTTTACATAAAAAAAAATCAGACTTCTGATTAAGGCTTTTCAAAAAATGTCTTTTTTGTTTGTTATTTTTTATATTATAATACCCTTTACTATTTTCTTTTATAATGCATACATATGTTCATTAAATATTAAGGTTATTTTGTTTAAAAAAAGTTATTTGATGAAGATTCATTATTCCGATTAAAATTATACATTATGGAAATAACTTGAAACTTATTTAATTATTTAATGCTGATATAATTACATTTTATCGATACTTCAACTTAAATGCTTTAGGTCTTTTGAAAATCCGAGAATTAATGTAACTTCAAATTAGTATATACAGTTTTAATAACTTATCTTTTAAAATACAGTTATTAAATCCAATATTGTTCAAAGGAAATACATAAAGTATAGTAGACACTTATTTGTAATTTAACATGAATAAAAACTTTTTTTTGTAATTGACTAAAACAAATTTATTATATTGGGTAAAATAATATTTTACTATTGTATGCAACTATGCCATTTTTTTAATTAAATTAAACAATTTTCTTGTTTATTTTATAAACTTGACATTATACCTTAGAAATTAAAGGCCTATAAATAGACATTCAAATTATTATCTGCTTTAGTTTGTGTTTGAAGTTTATGTGCAATTTGTGTTACTCACGTAATATAAAAAATCAATATGAAATTTCTACACGCCATCGTTTTTTTTCTTTATACAGTTGTGTTAAGTATAACAGTTGTATTGGAAACAGTCAAACGTATTGTCTATTTGATTTGGCGAGATGAAATCGATCAAATTTATGCCAGACATTATAACCGTACCCATAAGAATTTTGGTGAATTTAAAAACGCCGAGAACTTAGAAAAAATTTTTAATGGAAATGGAAACGTTGTGACTGATAAACTGGACGCTGAACATTTAGATAATTCAGTTAGTTTTAATTGCATCGTAATGATTTGTTCTCGAGAGCAGTTTGACAGTTTCGGTGATATAGTAAAAAATTTCATCAAACCGACTTCTACGGAATTGCAGATTAAAAATGATAAACTTACCAGTGACCAATGTGTCCAAGTTGACGACGCTATGTTTGGTGCTGTCTTAGTAAAAGATATTGCACGAACAGCTGGAAGAGATATGTGAAAACTTAGAAACGTCGCCATTACTTGATAATACGGTAGAATATTTTGACATAGATGAATCTTGCTCGCTGTTTGTGTGCTCATTAGATATTGGTACCTCAACGATTTATTTTTTATTAACATTGTTAATGGTTATGAAAAAATGAACGATTATACGATCATTACATTTAACATCGTAGTTCGGTCGATGAAGTGCTGATCAAAGGAAGTTATTTTATTCGTGATAAAAATGTAGTATTTGTCAATACATCTCTAGCAAATATAAATTTATATGGTGAAAAATATGAAATCGTTAAAGTTGTTGGACCTTTTGAGGAAACTACTGAAAATTCGCAAATTTGTGCTTTTATTTCAACAATTGACGATATGAGGTTGATTAACTCTGTTAATGAAGAGGATAATAAATTCTTTGTTTATCTCATCGATAAAGACACCATGGGCTATTAGTAACTTTAAATAAATAATTTCTTCCGTATTTATAGTCCATAAACTCTTATATGCTATAATAATTTAGCATATTAATTAACCTGTCAACGAAACTTTACAATATAATTTGTATTGTCTCGGAAATCAATATAGTTTGTATGCATAAGTAAATCATATAAGGCCACCATAGAGATGTTCTGTTGATGATATTTTTCAAAAAAATATATATTTTATATACTTCAAATATAATTAAACATTTTTTATCACTCATTTTAACATTACTTTCGACGTATTTAAAACTTGAACTGAAAAAATATCTGTTATTACTATTTTTATGTAATAAAAAATATTTATTTTGCAAATAATAATTTAAAAACTAATTACTATTTTATTTGTTAAATTTAAAAAAATATCAAAGTTACATTTTTTTATAATGTTATAAACTTTATTTTTTGTCATTAGTTATAAGTTACGTGTTGAAATAAAAATATTGTTTGTTATTTGAATATGTTTTTCA